CGGGCGGCGTAGCGTTAAAATTAAAACACGACTCGCAGTGACTATCGATGCTGATTCTGATCGGAAGCAAAGAAAGTTCTAGCGCAGCTCGTTACTCATCAAACCATATCAAATCAGCAGGAGTTACACGGTAAGCAAGCAAGCAACAACACTAGTTTCAGCAACAATGAACGGCAGCGGCAGCAACAGCAGCAGCAGCAGCAGCAGCAGCAGCAGCAGCAGCAGCAGCACAGTACCCACAGTAATAACGGCAAGACTTGAACATCAAATACTAGAGAGTGGTGATGACCGAAGCACGATCAGGTATAAAGATCAGGTCGGACGGTACATGCTGAAGATCAAACAGTACATGCTGAGCGTTCACCAGCACGATAGGTCTTGGGACTTGGGAGTTCTACCGGCGGTATGTACGAGGAGGGCTGTAAACGAACAATACTGATCCTCATTGAGGTTGTACTAGTAGCGGTAGTAGCAGTATGGAAAGGAGGCGTAAAGGAGTAGAAGTGAGTCGGGATCTCTTGGAGCCAGATGCGGCGATGTAGGTACATGGAACGACGCCTAAAGGCTCAGTGTTCCCTTTTCCCGCTCTAGACATAGAAGATCTGGGCTAGGTTTTGGTTCTCTAGCCTGTGCCGCTCATCGCAAGTCTTATCCGCTTGCACGAATGTCTGTGCTTGTAGACGTATGTACGACTTTTTCCACAACTTGCGCACGCGTGCAGATTTTTGCATATGCCCAAGTATACAAAGAACATGTGGCAATGCCGCACCACACGACACTATACATGTATTGTCCTGTATTGTGCATGTACACCACCATCCCACTGCACTTTGCTGCGCGACTCTCACCTTCTCGGGGTCCGTGACTGTTGGAGCTCTAGTGACTCTAGTGTTCGAGGTGCACCAAATTGCCCAAACAAAGGCAACAAAAACGTCTGCTTCTCACGCACCCAGTGTATTTTCGTCGGTCTTGTTTTGCCATTGCTCAGAAAACCCTCCTCACAAATTTTTTTCACACAGATACAAGCAACAAGACCTGGGCATCAGCACCTGCTTGTCGAAGTGGTTCTCGGAGCTGTCGCCAGCCAAGTTTCCAAGCGCCGCTGCCGCCTCGGCCGAGCTCTAGCTGTGAAGTCCCGAACATTCACACATCCAGTTGGAGTAGTATCCATCTTTCTATCTAGAGGCACTGAAACATTCACCCTGATGATATAGGCTTTCTCTCATTCGCCGTGTGCTTGCGATGTCGTTGCGCCGTGTTCATATATGTGCTTTACTATATTCTTTGACAGACCACATGCCTGTTGACAAAAGGCTTTAGCATTCATCATTTAATCATTTACTACCAATGGAGTATTTGGTGCCAGCGCCAGTGCCGTCATCATCATGGTTATCCTGACGACTCCGATGGTTGCTGCTACGCTCAGTTTTGCCTGCAAATGTGTGCAGAATCCTTGGGGGTCATGAAATCAAAACATTCGAAACCCACCCGAAAACTCGATCCCTGCACCCCTCCAAATCTAAATCGTAAACAACCTCAAACTCTAAACCTTGAATCGTGAATGAGCCCCGCTGTTGCATCCCCACATGGGCTCGACATGCGGGAAACCTAAAATCAATGCACGAAGGGTTTCTTATCTTGCAGATGTGCACAACCTTAAAATAGAACATCCTCTCTATGCCGTCGATCCCTGACCCGTAACCCTGAATCCTAAACCTAACATCTCGCGCACCAGATCTCCCGTGCACCGTAACCCAGGTGGCCTGAGCTTGAACACCCTGGTCAGAGTGAGTGAGGAGGTTGATCAAAGGCGTGATGGCCCCTGCCTGCTCAAGGGCTTCGGATACCTCAAGGTAACGCGTAGAAAACAGAAACTGCAGCAAGCTGGTATGCATTAGGGTTTGGCGGGTGGAGGTTTGTGCAACCGTCGGAGAAATGAATGCAGCTGAGGTGGCGTGTTGTTTGTACTCAATGCGGCACCGCTCTTTAGCTCAAAACAGCAGGTACCAGGCTGAACTTGATCCTTACGCCTTAAGTTTCGGAAACTTGACTAAAGCCTTCCAGCTACAGACCATAAACGCCGAAACCTTTGTCCTAGCTACACTACACTTACAGGTTAGGGTTTGTAGGCCCTGAACTCTCAACTCCGAAGCCTTTAACCAGCCTCGTAGGACCTTTTTAGCAGGGTGGAACTTATTTTGGTTGCTTTTCGTTCTCTCGGCAGCCGAGCCTGGTGCAAACTTGTTGCTGCTGCTGCGGCAACATGTGGTACGGCAGTCTCAGCACCAGCTGAGACTTGGGGCAGGGCTCTTCGTTGGCGGAGTGAGGCTCTGCTAGGGCCAGGCTGCTACCCGTTAACCCGGCGAACACGGCTATCAACATGAGACCAGTTAAATTTTGCTTCCAGAATGCACGAGAACCGCGGACGGCCACCCAAACCCCTGCATTTCCATCGCTTACATAACCTATGCACCCCGAAGACCTTCCCCCCAACGATGTTGGGTTCTTGTTCCCTGCAACCCTCATTTATCTTACGTTAAACAAGAACCATGTCAATATGAGGTGTAGGCTTTGGGGCTCGCCTTTGCGATGGCGAGCTGGGCAGCGTTGTGATTAGCCGCCAAATTTCCTGAGCCACGCAAGGCCATTTCGGCCAGGGTCCCAGGAACTTTAGGTCCTACACCATTTTGGCAAATCTACGGTTCATGGCTACTGATGCTGGTCATTCTTCCGTGAGCGGTCATGCTTGGGAGTGTGCACAGGCGTTCAGAAGCAGAAGGCTTTCGCGGAATCTGCTTGGCCGCGTCTTGAGTCTGCTGGTAGTAAGAGCATGCCTCTAGTGCTGAATTGCTAGCCATTGGATTCTGAATGGCAGGCTGATTGAACTTGTAACAAGAATATTGCTTACAACAGTGATGTCCGTAGGGTTGATAGCAACACCGAAGAAATGGTGGCAATAGTTCTACCACTAAGCCCAGATTGTAGAAGCTCTCAGCAAACATGACTGACCGAATCCAACTCCGACTCCTTAGCATCAGGCCAACCTTCGTAATTTCGTCTCTTCATGTCTCTTCCAATGCACCTAAACCCTGTGATACCTTGTGAGAAAACAAATTCCCAAACGACTCCGAGGCTTCCAAAGCTCAAGTTCGTGGCGCAGCCAAGTGGGGAAGATAGATGTAACTTTTTTCTGACTATGACGGCTTCCAGGCCCGAGGAAAGCGATGCTGGACATGCCCCGTCTTAAAGGGCAAGCCTGATTCAGAATGGCCCTGATGTCACCACTTCCGACACTTCATCCTAGACCCACACCCCGATTCTCCGGCAAAGCATCGTATCGCACTTGCCGCAGCCTTTGTCGGCACCTGGGGCTGTGGGCGAGCGCAAGCTGCTGTGTGTCTACACTCTTGGGACATGCATCAATGTTCATGGGTAAGGATGTAAGGCTTGCAGCTTGAGGAGGGCTTGCCGCCTGACTCTTGAACGCTTTCGCATGGGGAAATAGCAATGCTTCTTCTGCTGCTGCTGCTGCTGCCGCTGCGACTCCGACTTTAACTCGTACTAGTACTTCAAATTGCAAAAAGCAGCAGTAGTAGTAGTAGTAGTAGTAGTAGTAGTAGTAGGGATCCTCCTCAATCCAAGGCTGGGACGGAGGAGTCGGATCCCAAGAGCCTCCAAAGAACAGCAGGAGCTCAAGCTTCAGGTATCTCTTGCGCTTCGTGCCCAGAGTGTTGATACTGTTGTACTTGCAACATGCCACTCCTCATTCATGTTGTGGCGTTGTCCTTCATACTGCCAAAATTCGATGATGCAGGTTCTCGCACCCAGCAATACTATTGCGGAAATACCACCTCTATAACTTTACAACGCCATACTGGTCTGGTTTTGAAACAATGTCGCTTGAGTTTTGAGAATTCGGGTTTTGCGTGTCTAGATGGTGTGATGCATACATGTTTACAAAGCGAATTTACTCTTTGGGATCGCGGGGTTGAAGCGATCTTTTGCATCTTCTCTTAGCTGTCTTGCGTAGACCATCGGTAGAGAAGGCTGCCGGATGGCTGCACATTGTGAAAGTCGCTGTCTAGCTTCAAGGGCTTGGTTCCGCAGTTACTTGCATATACGGCTTCCCCATATTGTTCCTTGTGTATACACACAGGCGCACATGCACGTACACCTTCCTGCCAGAGAGATGGGGCGTTCCGAAGCAAAGGACAGCTGTCGCAGGAGGCCCAGTCTGTATTTTGTTTTGACGGACTTTGCGTGCGGTTTCCTATGCGTCACAGGGTGAAACGGATTTGAGATTTACCCAAAGCACGAAGGTTTGGGGGGTTTAGAGTTTGGGGCCTTTGAGCCGGCAACTTCCCTAATACAGTCTCTTAAGCACGAACGCACAGCCTTGACCATTTTGTGACATTGTGGGTTTACAACAATACCGTCTGGCAGTGCTTTAGCTATGTCAAGTATGCTGACGCAGGTGGCGACATCGATCATGATGATACAACCAGTAAATGCCGCTACCGAACTCCTACGACGAAGGCGACGGCTACTCCTCTGCTACTGGTTGCTACCTCTAGATAGTAGCAGGAGAAATGAACGAGTGGCAAGCGGCAAGCAGAAGTCGCAGTAGCAGTAGCTGCAGCAGCCGCAGAGTAGCAGCAGCCGGTGCAGCTTTGGAAACAAGGAGCACTTGTCCGCAGGTCGAGAAATAGCGGCGCTAGTCGTGCCGGTAAGCATGCTAAGAGTGATACTGATTGTCGGAACTACTAGGGTTTAACTGCCACAGACACTTTGCTTCTGTAGGGGGCCACAGCTCATCAGCATAAAGACCACTAGCGACCTTCCGATTCGCACGACGTCTGCATTTGTTGTCAAAGCCGCTGTATCGTTGATATCGCCTGTACCACCAACATTATCACAGCCTAGCCTTCTTCTGCGTCGTCAGTATTGTATGATGTTATTATGGAAGATTTTAGACGGTGAGGCCTCGGAGTCTTGTACAATTGCCAGGCTCTCACGGACCCCAAACCCAGTCTCCCAAACCTGCCGACTCTGATGCGGATCGAAGAGATCCAGAGGGCCGCCTCCCCGCATTGGCAGTCGGGGGCCCGTCTAAAGCCGAAGCAGCAGCCCTTCAACTTAGGGCCATGGGTCCGATCGCAACCGATTCTGTATCTCTGGTCCTTCAATTTTGCAGCCAAAGTGTCGTTAGTGGCGGCAGCCTTCGACTTGAGCTGCGCGATAAGGCTCTTACTGGTCTTATGTCACGGGACGCCTTCCGGAACAGAATGCGTTGGGTTTGTGAGCAAGCTGGTAGAGCCAACCAACGCCCCGGCCCAGAATTTAGATGCATATAGTTAAGTATCTGCTTCAGCTGCTCAAGTGCAGCCGTGGGAGTCACAGCGTGGGTGTGCTGTGGGGAATGAAAGGGATGCCATCACGACATGTGCTACAATTTCTGGCCTGCTGCTTCTATTGATGTTCTGGTATTCGTAGAGAGCTGCTTTAAACAAATCACGAGTCGCCAGTGACCTTAACACCGTAACACCTGAAAACCAAAATCATCCGGCTCAACCCTAGACCCTAAACCCCTAAACCCTAAACCCTGCCCAGCTTTAAGCCCCAATGCTCAGTGGTCTTCCCATCCGACCACACCGCTCACGGATACAGGGGTGTTTAGGGCTTTGAAGTCTGTAACGGTAACCCCACGGTTTAGGGTTTAGGGTTTGGGGTTTGGGGCTTTGAAGTCTGTAACCGTAACCCCTATCATTGGTGTTTCTGGTGGTCCTGGTAGTTGGGGCTAAACCCTCATATGGGCAGTTCTCTAAATTAGGGTCCCTTTTAGGGTCCTTTTTATAAGGGTGCCGTACTATTTGGGGGATCCATAATTTAGAAAACTACCCATATACAAGCCCGAAGCTCTAGACCATGTTTAAGTTCCGGTTGCTTGACCTCTCTGCTTCCAGCGCCTGCAGATGGGAAGCAAAAATACATGGGCTTCTGAAAGACGAGGCTTCACGATCTCTGAGTCATCATCAATATTACACAACATCTTCTATATTTTATAAGTATAAAGACTAAGACTTGATGATCAGGCCTGGAGGAGTTACGTTTCCCGGACTCTAGGTGCCGGAGCTCTCCGTACGCGGGATCGGGAACTTCATTTCGGACGCTCAGCAAGTACAACTGGCAGTACACCTCGTCAGACGAATGTTATGTAGCACACAATAAACATCCGTTCTAGATCTTTTTAGTGTTCGTGTAGCGCTCAAGCTTCAGAGGCCGCCACGGTCCGATATATTCTGAAGAAAGCTTCTCAGCATGCTCGTTAAGCTGTGGTGAGTGCCCCAGTCAATTTCGAAAGGATCTTATGAGGACCCATCCTTTACTGAGTTCCTGTCTGACGCGCTTTTTTAAACATGCTAAGTTCGCTAAAAGGCCATACAGCGCCCAGATCACCTGCTCTCGAGCTGCCATCACTTCTGCAGGTCCGGGCCGCATGTTCGACGACTGGACGGCCTCGGCCTGGGGCTGCTCTGGGGGAGGAAAATGGGGGTTTCTGAAAATAGGGGACCCTAATATAGTACCCTAAATAATAGTATCCTTGGTATAAGGACCCCAAAATAAGGTACCCTTAATTTTCGGAAACTCCCATTAAATGTCTGGCGGGCCTCAAGGAGGGAGAAAGGTGGCCAACCAAGAACCCCACAGTCCAAAACGAGGTACCCCCAGTTTCATGGAGGGAAGCACTCCGCAACCGAGTTCAGCGACAAGGATATCTAGCTTCGTGACGACCATCCAACAATTTGTGGGCAATCCGATCTCTGGCATAGCGGACAAGCTTGCAGCACGTCTGATGAAGCTTGATGCTTTTCTTGCAAGCCCGTAAATAGAGGAAGAGGCTTGACAGACTTTGTGGCCGCAGGTGCTCACCAAGTTCGCGCGTACCAATACGTTTTGGAGGGCAAAGCTGTTTTTTGCTTTGCTCCCGACAAGCAGAGACGGAGGCGCCCTTGCAGCGAAAGGACAGCAGCTCTCTGCCACAAATGGATTTCGTGACTTTGCTTTCCGGTGTTCGGTCCTGTACGAACATACGGCATACACGGCTGGAGTGCGAGGTATGTTCATGCCAGACGACGCAAAAAAAACACCTGGTGACAATTTTAGGGCTCAGCTCTCTTAATCCGTTTTCATCGGCTGGCTCCCTTTCCTCAAGTTCTGTAGTCCCTTTCACAAGGGTTGCTCCCTCGTTCAAAACGGGAAGCCCCATTCAGCAGGTTATTTCTGTTTCTGCAAATTCCCTAGACTCTTTCGAAAGCTTCATTGTCCTTTCTTAAACTGTGGTGCTGTCCCGACGGTCTGGTTTCTCTCAAAGTCCGTTCTCTTTTCTGTGTCAGTTGGTTCTGCTTGAACCACTTCACCCGTTGCGGAAGTTCTGCACTCCATTCTCAGACTCTCCTTTTTCAAGCGGTTCGAACGTTCTATCTAATCCTTTTCGCAGGGTTGGCACCCCTGGCCCACGTGCACCCTTTCTCAAATACTGGTCCCAGTCGGACGTTTTTGCGACATTGTTAACCGAACTATATAACCCCTGACTTTCAACCATTTTTTGAGTCCTTGTCGAAAGGCTTGCTGCATGGAGACATTCCCCGGGCAACACCCTATACCACCACTGCCATCACCACCACCGCTTCGGCGGCAAGGTTACGAAAAGCCATACTCAGGAGGGCTACAACGAAGACAACCGCAATCAATTGAACAAATCTTCGTCGCCGTGACAATCATAAACGTAGTCCACAATACAAACTCATCCTCCTCACGATGAGCATAATGGCAAACGGACAGCGATGAAGGTCAGGACAATCATGGCTTGTAACATCATCATCATCGGCACCATCATCAATCCAGAGCTCTGGTAGTCGATCGTCATAGAACCCAAAACTCCCACCCATTGCAATCGCCGGGATGATGTTTAGGGTGTGCAGGCACATCAAGCAGAATAGTGTGTAACCAAATAAAACATGGAAGACTATTCACTTTCGTCGTCTCTATGGAGCGACATAAAACGAAGTGACCTATGTTCATTGTCTGACAAAACCCTCAAATATTGACAACTCCAACCGGATGCCTCACAGAGTGGCTTCCTGGCCCATGTGCACGCTTTCTGGCAGCTGCGGTGTCTCGTACTTGTCCAGCCGGGGCGCATAACGGTCCTTCAGGGATTAGCGGCTAGGGTGTAGGGAATCCGGGGGCCAGGATGTGGGTTGGCCTAAGGGCCTAATCGCGAGCTGTCCTTGGCTGTTGGAGTCAAGTCGCTTTGCCTCCGTCTGCGACAGCAGTAATAGTCGAAGCAGTTGCAGCAGATCATGCAGCAGCAGCAGCACTTGGCCGTGCAGCATCTCGCACACTTGGAGCACTCCTGCCCCCAGGCATGCCGCAGCTCTTTACTGGTGCACTCAGCGCAGCACAGGGGCACGCAGCAAAGACAAAGAGCGAGGCCGCCAGCTGCGCAACCCAGGGTCAGAGCCAGAAGCCCCTTGCCGGTGGAGTCAAAGCTCCACTGCTGATCCCAATCCTTGCGTGTTGGGGCCATTACTTAGTTGGCCTATGGGTTTACACATCGTCAGGGAAAAACAACAGTATTTCGTCAGGGTTATGACAGCAAAGCTTGCTGCCGGCAGAGAGGAGTCTGTGCCGTTTCCCTCCACTGTTAAATCCTTCATGGAGCCAAGCGCGATGAAGAGCCCTGACGTGACCTCGCGCAGTCTCAAGACTCAAGCTACTGCCGAAACAGGGTGAATCAACGCCGAAACAGGGTGAATAAACGCGACAACCTTGGAACAAGTAGTGAAAATAGTTGCCATCATGGTCATGGCTGTACAGCTACACTCTCTGCTACTCGTCGGACTCGGCTAATGGAACCAAGACTAAGATCTACATAGCCGAACATCAAGACACCTCAATGTCCACGGAACCACGGACTTAACTCATGTCCCTTTAAGTGCCCGGAGAGTTTCGGCTGCGTGAAACCCTGAGCCCTAAACCCGCAACCCCTGCCATCACCAGGACGATGAGGAAGCAGTAGCACCGGAAGCAGCATTTCTCTTGAAAGCTCGCCCGCCCGCCTCGCCAGAAGCTAAGCTGCTCTGGCTCTGTCCACTCCTACGTACTTTCTACATGTGTGGAAACAAGGCTTGCCCATACATGCGTCTACAAAGATTTATCCATGCTTGGCAAGAACTCTCCTGAAACCTTGGAGGCCTCCCAAGCCTCGGGAAACCAAATTGAGGGCTTGGGTAGGAATCACAAATTAGCCACTTGGCCGCAGCATAGTACACACGGCCTCGTTGCCCCAGCTCTGATAGAGCTCTCTTCATTCGGCGAAACCGCTTGCAAAGCGTGTGCTGCGGATTCAGGATCTGCAGTTGCGTTGCTAGGTCTGTGGGGGTGCTCTGTTTGTCTTGGTGTGTGTGTGTGTGTGCGTGTGTTTGTGTGTGTGAGTGTGTCTTTGTGTGTGTGTGTGTGTGCAAAGTTGTCTTGGGTAGGGTGCGGATGTATCAGCCCTAGCCCATAACAGAAGTAGCAAGCACTGTCCAGATTTTAAGCCAGCAGTGAATCTGCCGGGACCCCATTTCTGAGTCTATTTATTGTACTTGCAGAATCGAGGCCTGCTGGCTGCTTTGTCTTGTCGGTGGGCTGTGCTAGGGGTTGTTCTACATCATGGTCGGTGTATCCCGAATATCAGTGGGTATCTTCTGGGGATCCCGAGTTTTGAGAAACCCCTGTCGACGCAGAAGCGCTCCAAGCCAAACAGCGACGGCATCGTCTGAACGTGCATCCTCAAGCTCACTTGTGTCTTTGACCCGAGTTCTCTGCGAGAACGCCGCATCTCTTCTGGAAACGAAGGAATTTCTAGGGCGTTGGAATCTAAGTCATTCTCAGAATTGCGAAAATTACAATCCGGTCAGCAGCTACCACTTCGCTTCGAAAGAGTTTAGGAATCCCCAAAGTTGCTGCAGCCTCATAGCCGCTTGTCTTCCAAAGCCCAGAACCTTCTCCCTACAACAGTGCGTTGCGCGGCATACACAGAAACGCACAGGGGTTACGGGAGGAAGCTGTCACGTCAAACTCCCAGTTCCTGTAAACAAACGTGGCCTCCCAAGGGCGGACACTGCACCGGCACGCAGAAGCGTTGACTGGGCAGCCTGTCGTGAGTTGCTTCAGGACCTTCAGGAATACACTCGCAAAGCATTCATCTTCGAGAGACTTGCTCCGCTAAGCATTGAAAATAAAGGTGCAGCCTCGCCCTTCATTATTTAGTCGACCTCCATGCGTACGGCAGGGTGTTCTAGGGGTTAGAGGCCATGTGATAAAGCTTTAGCTTCAACCTTGGATCCGGTTCAGGGTTCAGGGATAGACGGAAAGCTTTCTGGCGTGCGCGACAAGCTGAAATAGCTCCAAGAAACCCACAATGAGGGCCCTTAAGCCTAAGCGTGTTCTGCGCCTCTCCATCTGCTGCCAGAACTCCCAAGGCAGCCGCGGCTGCCTGGCTCGAGCTTTCGCTGGTTCTTTTGCTTTTAAATGAGGGTTTCGACTCACACGCTCCTAAATGCAGGCATGGCAATACGTGTCCGAGCTTAGGGTTTAAGGTTTGAGGATTGCGGAGCAGTTCAAAAAACTTTCGTCGTGCGCTTCACAAAGCTTAGGGGCATCAGCATAGATCTGGATTCACATGTCCATAAAAACAAACAAGCAAAAGACAACAAACACACACCGCACATGCATATGACATACATACACATATATATATATATATGTATATATATATATACACACAAATTAACCATGTGTATCTGTCTACCTATGTGTCGGTCTCTCTGCAATCTACTTATCTACCCATCTCTCTGTCTATGCGAATGCACGCGTAAAATATTCCACTTGAGACCTTGCTCTTCACGAGCTCTGGGAGCCCTGTCGGTGTTATGGGCGTGTGAGGATCTTAAGTGGATCGGGTGAGGTACTAATCCGAGCCATCCTCAGCCACCTAAGGGCGGCTTATGACAACCAGAACCCAAAGCGAAACCCTGATAGACCCCCAGTACTATGGCCACGACTACTACTACTACTACTACTACTACTACTACTACTACTACCACTACCACTACCACTACCACTACCACTACTACGACGACGACGACGACTACTACTACTGCTGCTGCTGGTGCTGCTGCCACTACCGCTACTGCTGCTGCTGCTGCTACTACTACTACTACTACTACTACCAACTACCAACTTCGCTTGCTC